CTGTTGCTTTCCGATGGTTTTTAAATGGTCGTGATTTTTTTCATTTATTTTCGAACTGTGAATAGTTACTCAGATGTCAATTTATATTCGAAGTCGAACTAGGCATCTCATGGATAATTCATGTGGTATCCAAACTCCATATTTCCACGTGTTGCCTAATTCGCCCTGATGTGTTTCTAATGTAGTATGAGAGCACTCAAGTCGCTCTGCTAAACACCATGTAGTCAATCTAAGATCTTCGTCGATAAGTTGCTTCAAAACATCTATAGCTACCTCAAAAACGGTTTATTTGTGATGGCAATTTATTTTGTTTAAAAAGGAAAATTCATAAAATGTTATGGAACAATATGTTCAAGGTCGTAATTGTTTTCCGATTAAATGCATTTCATCAGCTTGTATTAATTTTGGTACAATATATTTTTTTGAAGACTTTCTTTGAGTATTTATACTTATATTTTCTTCTATCTCTTCTAAACCGTTTGTTAATATTCGAAATGATATTGAATAACCAGGCGATTCAATTGATTTGCCGACAATAAGTTGTCGACGAGTATCACCTTGATAGGATATGGCAAGACGAACATTGACAGAATATGACCAAGCTTTTCCTAGAGCAACGCTCATATAAAAATCATTTCCTATTGTTTTGTTAGTGTTCGATCTTTCATGTTCATCAGTTTTTTCTGTTAAAACATTTGAACGACGTTTTGTTGTCACTTGATTTGTTACTGAAATAAAAAAATAAATCAAATATTTGCTTGTTTCATTTTACGTATAAATGTAGAGTCATGATGAAATAAATGGAGCATCATAGGTCGATAAACGAGGGAAAGAAAAAAACATACCAAGAGAAGAACATCGAAAATACACTTCTCATTAGTGAATCACGTGCGTGTGTAAGACAATGCGCCAAGTACGTGTGCGTATAAATAAGTGTCTAGCGTGAAAAATGTATCGAAAATAATGTTGTCATGCATTTTTACCATTCAATGTTTTTCTCTGCATACTGGACAACCCTATACCTTTGCATAGTCCTGCTATAAAAAAAAAGATATCCATGCAATTATAAAAATTGTACTAGAGAAAAATATGTATTTCTATATGCTAACAGAATAGGTAACCATTTAAATGAAATTCTTTTGCAACATTACCTAAAACAAGAAGATTATATCGTGTAGCAAGTCGTTTCGCACGATCAGTAAATAATAGAAGAATATTGTCTCGCGTATAACCCATCGTTGACATTCTTAGTGGAGCAGCAATCGAATCAATAATTAATAATATCGGACATTGATCTAGTTTATTATTTTTAAATTCATCTTCTAATTCATTTTCAATCTGTATTAATATATTCATTAATGAATCAGAATCAAATGCTGTTTCGGTACGAACAAGTTCAAGTAAATGTTCTTGTTCACTATTGAAATTTCCCATCATATTTAAAAGACGAATAGATGAAAATGTATGCTCAGTATCAATGTAAATTGAATGTAAACCCAATAAACAACATTGAGCAGTTAGATGAAGACAAAATTGTGTTTTACCACTTCCTATATATATGTATGTCAAACAAAATCGAAACTTGAAAACAAAAATCAAGATTGATTATTTACCCCATGAACCACATAATTCAATAAGTAAGCCACGTCTTAGACCACCATTAAGATAACGATTAAGTGTCGGTAATTTTGTTGGAATATATGATGAGGAAGTTTGTATTAACATATCATAGACATTTTTCGATTGAATTGTTAAAGTTGAAAATAATTTTTCAAGAATTTGTTCTGCATCAAAAATTGGTAAACGAAATTTAAATGAAAGTTCAAGTGGTGTGTATGCTGATAGATCTATTAAATTTTTAATGCCAGCACGTTCAAAACGTTCGAGTAGATGATTATCAATAAGATTCAATGAGGTAAAATGCGAAGATGTAAATGAAATAAATGACATGAAGTTTGTTTTTGCTGATTAATCGAAAAACAAATATACGTTTTACATGAGGTTACAGTTAGATTGCGAAACAATATTTTCACAAAGTCTAGAACTGAAAAAAATGAATAAATCAGATACAATAATAGTTGTTTTTTTCCATTTATATAAATTAGACTACTCTCATTTGGATTGAAATTCGATAGGTTCTAAATTACTTTTTGTGTGAGAATGGTATTTGATTACATATATTTCAGAATGACAACATCCGATATTTATGTACTAAATGACTTTCGGATTTGTTTTCCTGGCAGCTATTGCTGTTTTTGGTTTGTCTGCTTTAACTAATGAGAATATTCACTTAAATCCATTGATTAATTAATTATCATCTTGAATTTCTAGTGAGCAACTTTGTTTTAACATGTCCGTGCTACCGTCCTCTCATCATCGTGCTTCCGATCACAGTCACCGTATTTAAACTGGTTTCATCCTACGCTTCAGTTGTTCCACATAGATAGTATCGCTATGAATGAATTTCAACTGTTTATTAAATATTGAATAAAAGAAACAATAATAATCTTGTGTTTTTCTTTTAGAAACACATTTGTTGACACCGACACCCACATCTCTCAATTTCATCAATGAAACGTATTGTTATATTTAAAAAAAAATTATGCTTCGTTCTTCTTTACTATTTACTTAAATAACACTAACAACAAGTATTTTTTAACGAATTAAAATCTGCAAGTGTTCTTCGTTTTAACGCTGTGCCCTTTAATGATTGCGATGTTGCTGAATCAATTCGAACTTCAACATAATCACCCGGTTGAAATATTTCATTGCTTTCAGATAATTGTTTAGAGAATATTACTTTCGTATTATAATCATTCCTTCCAGCGACTTCAGTATCTGGCGAACGTTTACTAGGTCCTTCAACGAGACATAATTGTGTTTGACCTATATATGACTGATTAATTAAATGCGCATGATGTCGAAATAATTCATGAATTTCTAAATGTCGACGTGATTTTATATCCGGCGGAATATCATCATTTAAATGATAATGTGCTTTGGTTTTTTCACGCATTGAATATGGAAATGAATAAATAAAATTATATCGTACACGATTAATAACATCAAGTGTATCACGATGATCATCGTCAGTTTCACTACAAAAACCAGCAATAAAATCAGACGAAAAAGATAAATCAGGCATAATCGAACGTATATGTTCAACTAATAATAAATAAGATTCTTTTGTGTAACCACGTCGCATTAATTCTATATAAATTAATATAGAATTGAATATTAATATTGAAAAATTAGGCATACCCAGCATACGTGTACTACCACTTTGACATGGCAGATGTATGGATTTACAAATATTTGAACGATCACGCATTACCTTAAATCAATAAGAGCATTTGTTGAATAAAGGAAAATGAAATCTTAATCGAACAAACGTATAATAAATCATCAGGAAAATCTTTTGGATGTGGTGACGTAAAACGTATACGAAGCTCCGGTGAAATTTGTGAAGCTTGATCAAGTAGAGTTGCAAAACGAATAGAGCCTTAAAAAAAGTACATATATAATCGAAAAATTTGTCTAATAAAACGAATACCTTTGGCTATATTTGTTTTATAATTTTCACGAAATCCTCGAGATAAAGATTTCGTTGTATGTAACGATACATTCATTTCAGATTTATCACAATAACTATTCACATTTTGACCCAGTAAAGTCACATCTGAAAAAAAAATTAAAGTTTCAAAAAAAAAAGATATTATATGTATTACCTTTTATTCCAAGATCAGCTAGATAGCGAAGCTCATCTAGAATACTGCTCATAGGTCTAAAAAATTTAAAAAAAAACATTCTTTTTCAATGAAGAGATTCTCGTAGTTTTAAATAAACGTTTAATGGGAAACATAAGTTAGGAATAAGATATTGGTTTTCGTTGTTTCTCTCATAGTATTCCAATAAATTAAATTCATACTAACCTACTTCGTTCTCGTCCACGTGTAAATGGTACGATACAAAATGTACACATATTATTGCATCCACGCATAATCGATACAAATGCTCGTCGATTATTGATATCAAATCGAAGTGGTGTTATATCAGCATATGTTTCGTCTAATGACAAAACGGTATTAATTCCTTTTTGATCAGACATTAACAGTGTTTGATCAAGAAGATTAGGTAATGACCGATAGGCATCTGGACCACAAACCACATCGACAATCTTTTCACGTTCAATTAATTTCTCTTTTAAACGTTCAGCCATGCATCCAAGTACACCTATTTGAAATGGTGGAGCGTACGGGGAACGTGTACGTTTTCTATTTCCCAGTGATTGAAGTTTTTTCCAAATTTTTTGTTCAGCACCTTCACTAATTAAATAAATTTTTTCCTTGAATTTTTTTAAATCAAGCAAAGTTCTTCACACATACCGAATACTACATGTCATTAATCTGAAATAAAAATGATATCAATAATGATATCAATACTTTTCAATACTATTATACTAACAAAACAATATCAGCATCATCTTCGTTGCTAACACGTTCATAACCACCATGTTTATCCAAAAATGTATAAGCGATATCAGTATCATTATCATTCATTTGACAACCGTATACATCGAAATAAACACGTCGTTTCGGATGTTTCAATGGATCAAGTGGTTCATAATCATCGATATTATGTTGTGTTAAATATGGTGGTAATGTTGGTTCACTAGGCGCTTGATTCACTGTTTGTTCAATAAAAGATTTTAATGAAGGGCCCTGAGAAATTTTTTCACGCCATGCAGGTACCGATGATAAAAATCGACAATGAGAAAATTGAGAAAAAATCAATCGCTGTAACATCTACAAAAAAGAGACACATAAGTAAATAAAATCACAAGAACACTAGGAAAGAAAAATCATTTTGTTAGTCTTTTATTGATGGTGAAGTTCGCGTTGCTAAAGATGTTTTTTCAAATTTTTTCACTTGTGTTTCTAGTGAACGTGAATATGCATCTAAATGCATTATAGTCGATTCTAAATTCGACATTGCATCTTCGATTTCATTCAATTGACTACGCGTTGACAACATTTTTGTACCTAGAAAAAAAAAGAAGAAATACATGTTTTCTACACGCAATAAGAATTCTAATCGAATATTTACAATTCGAATCATTCATTGTTCGGATTGAACCATTGACATGTTCTAATTTTCGACGCATTTGATTATATTTATCCAGTGCAGTCTCATTCATTTGAGTCAAACAATTATAATCACTAGCTACCACTAGAAGAAAAACAAATAATTCATGAAATTAAGTAAACATTTGCTTAAACTATCAAAATACAAGATGTTTATTCGTCCGTGTAGCCTTCGGAATGCATCATTTGTCAATGTATGACAGAAAAAAAAGCAATGCCTTAATCTAACAAATGGAATATTCAATATGTTTATTTCGATTGAAACTATTTGGTTTATGGTTCACAGAAAACTATTCAAATATTTATTTATTTTAGTTGACAATTAACACTTTTGTTTTGGCGAATGCTACTCGTGATGATGCATAGGATCATGCGGATGAGTTCATAGAATATTCAGCTATTATCTCTAGTTCCGATAAATATACACAATAACGTTTTGAATATTTCTATTCATTTCACACGATGTAGGCTTTCGGGTTTATCAATTGGAAATGTCTATTTGCTGTAAAGAAAACAAATTCTGTGCATTAATAAGTTGATATAATTGTTCTATTATATTCAACTTGATTGGCGTAGCTTTTCTTCTCGCCAATTGCATTCGTTATGAACTGGATTTCGCACATGAAAATATTTTATTATCATTATTACTTTTGTTTTCTATCGATGCTATTTTTCTCCATCGCTAATCGATTCGTACGCTATGCTATCAGTTAGTCTTCAGATAGACAAACCGAGACAGAACTGTCATTTGTTATTGTCTACTATATTTATACACATGCACATTCTGTCTCATTCCATTTATGACAATTTAGGAAACGAACTAACTTTTTTTCTGTCATTTTCAACATGCGACTGACATCAAAAATATTATATTTCGACTGATGAGGAAGTTTGGAAATGAATTTTTCGTTATAGATGCTTCACGAATATATTTAAACTATTCTTATTTAAAAGATTCGCACCATAGAAGAAGATAATGAGAGATTTAAACACCCCATTACGAATAATTAAATGACATAGCCAAGAGACATTGTCGTGTTCTTTTTCTCATCCGGAAATTAGAGCTGCGCGCGTCAGAAATTCTTTGAGATACTCATTTTTATAGAAAAAGAAATATATAAGGCTACCTTTTTTTTTCTCTACTAAATAATATAAATTTTCATTATATACATACAAAAATTAGTTTCATGTATTTAGATTTTTCATTGTCATCATTTATCGAATTACAATAAATACATAAAGTTTTTCAATTAATGAGGTTAAGAAAAAGTCTACATAGAATTATTTCTCTTTTTCTGATCGAAAGCTATTCAAGAGCAATTTACATACTTATAAATCTCTAATTTATGCATACCAAGATTTCAAGATAATATCATAAGCTTACATTTCGAACAAAAAAACAAATAATCCATTTACTGAATCTGATTACTCAAGATGTATGTTTTTCTGAACTCATCAAATATTCAATATCTTGAAATGAAAATTTTCAAACATCCGTTGCAATTGAAAATATTAATTATACAGATGACCAGCTCGCCAATATCGAAAGTAACAATTAGATATCAAGTACTATCTATTTTTCGAGTAGCTCTTGAATGAAGCAATCACTAGAGTATCTCTTTTCGATGCATGAGAAAACAGATGGAATAGCAAAAGATATAAATAGAACATACATTTTATTTCTGAACGAAAGTAATCATCAGCAGTGGAAAGAAATTGTTGAGCAGCCTTTTCCGATATACCATTTTGTTGTTGTGAATTACTTGGATTAGATGTTGCCATGTTATATCTGTAAGACATTTAAATATTTCTTATCATTTTGATTTATTTATTTGCTGTGTTTTTTGTTTTGTTAATATTAATCACAATAAATAAGAGAATGTAATTCAAACGAAAAAGGGATTTTCAAATGAGGTGACCTATGCATTACAAATGAAAAAAATAAATAAATGACAATAGGGACGAAAAAAAACGACAATATATATCTGAATATTTCGAGGTAGACTGTACGATAAATAAAGAGATCATTCGTTTAATCAGAACTAGTATTGATCGTCATCGATGCAGATGTTGGTAAGACTTTTTTATTTGTACGATGGAACATTTCACGTTCATATTCTCGAACTTGTTCGAGAGTCATTCCATACCTGATCAAATAGAACAAAACAGACATTTTTCTTTATTAAATTAGCTAATCCAATTTTATTGTTACCATTCATCCATCCATGTAAATGCTTGTCGATGTGCAAGTGTGAGAATATCACGTACAGCCTATAAAAACATAAATCGTAAAAAATGAAATACAAAAAAAAAATAACTTACACGCTGTGCAAAATCTTCAACACGTGTTTGAAATCCCCAAACTTCAAAACGGACTCGAATAGTTTTATAAGCGCACATGATGGGTTTCGTATATTCCTATAAATAAGATTTTTTCAAAGGCGAAATAAGAAAATATCAATGGGCTACAGTATAGAAAACTTACTCTCCAACCAGGCATCAATGGTCCACGACCTGTTTTTTCTGATTTAAATTTACATGGATCCTCACTTTCTTTATATTTATAAGCTGGTACTGGTTCGATGGCGATATCTAAATACTCCAATTTTCGAACGGCCAAGTCATCGGACGATAGTTGATGACACTTGAAAAATAATATAAAATACACAATAGTATAGAAGGATGAAAAAAAACGACAAGAATAAATACATTATCTGTCGTTCCATTATTATCTTCGTATCTTGTTTCAACGACAATTGAAAAGCGTGGTAAAAAGGAACACTAAATAAAAAATATTCACATTTTCCAAAATGAAAAAATAAAATTCGAATCGATAGAGAAATAAAAACAAATAATAACGATTTATAAATCACAGCAACACATCAATAAAGGAAAAAAACACAAGCAGACATGATTTATATGCTTTGTTTTTGAATTTTTACATAAACAAATGCGCAGGAATAAAATATTAATTCATGTCTCACGTTCATATGCAACATTGAAAAAAAAGAAAGCGAGGCATTAACATCTAATGACCACTTACGGTATACTCTACAGAGAAAAAAAATAATTAGAGCAATCCCTCAATCGTTTGCATATTTAGCTGGAAATTAAGCGTTTATGAAACATACCGGTGGTGGTATAAGGATAAAAATTTGTGGCTTTTTCAGTTATATAAAATACATTAGGAATAAGGGAACGCATCCATGCTGGTAGACGACTAGAAAATAAATATAGAATAAAAAACCATTTGAGAAATTAAAAAAAACTACCTTGATAGGTATAATCGTTTTTCGGTCAATTGACCAACAACACCATTTTCGTTAGTGACCGGTTCATTTCTTACAACTTCCACACCATCCTCTTTACTGGTTTCAACTTCGCAATGTTTACATATCATATACAGTTGTCCAATATGATACTATGATAAATAGAATTCGAAAAAAAAAATATTAATGTTCGAGAAAAAATGCTTGTTTTGTTTAATTTTACTTCTTCAACGGTAAATGGCAAGCATATCCTATACTCGTGTAATAACATTTTGCATATGGCAAGCGATCTGACACTCAGAAAAAAGTTTTTCCGTTCTTCTTTTCTCCTTCAAAAAAACACAAGAATGCAGATGATTGAGTCATGAAATCAGAACGATTCACCAATGAACGAACAGGCAGACATTTATCATTTACTGACCTCTTTATTATCTTTTTTGAGTATAATAATAATAATAATAATAAAGATATTTTTAGCATGTCAGAATCATTATCAGATCGATGAGTAAAATAATAAAATAGATCGTTCTGAAAAATTTTACGCAATTTTTTTCATTCCAGTTTTATCTATCACTAGTAATCATATAAAATTCCCAAAAAAAGAAAAACTCAACGATTTTGCTGATCATTCTTTTTTTTATTCGATTACTTTTTTCATAGAGAGAATCTCATGCATGTCAAATTCTCATGTTAATTGCATGAGACACATATGACATTAGCGAAGCATTTCTTTTATGTGTCTTTTGTAAAACTATTTCGGAATGAAAATTGACGAGAGACGCCCATGGATGAAACTTGTGCCAATGAAGTTTTTCTGCTTCTTATTCTTCTAAGGATTCAAAATATAGTTAGAATGGTAGAATATTATAATTCCATTCCGACTATAACAACTATGGAGTTTATGATATACGTATCGGAAGAGTTATTCATGCAAATCATTTTCCTATAATACAAATTTAGAATATTCTGACCTTTCACCATCAACGAGCTAATTTCTCTTGTGTTCTCAAACAAGGATCAATTTGACATTGAATTAAGTGTTAGAAAATAAAACAGAGTTCTGAATCAAACATATCTATATTTTTTACGGTTTATTGGTGTTTGAATATTTCAAATTGTTCTTGCTTTGATTATCGAATGTTCTTGTAGTCAGTGGTCACAGCTTAGCAGTTGGCGCATCAACAACATCTGATTCTCAAGCATGATCTGAATTCGATCAATTAGGCCCATGAAATAAACCGTATTAATCCAAAAACAATATTGAAAAGTGATATTTCTGTTTTTCCTTTTTATTAAAATAAATGTATTATATGCTTTCGTTTCGATTCAAATTCGTATTTACTTTTGTTCACATTGAATAATCATATGTAACATAAATGACAATGCACTGCTCTAGATCCATGCTTCACAGCAGTAATACTTGTATAAGATTTGATGAATTATTTAACATCTAATGCTTCGATGATAAAAGAAAACAGACATTGTATATACAACCTTTGGTTATCTCATATTAATAACCTAGATTGGTCTATTCACTCGTTATTATGTTGTTTCATGTTTGCATATTTTATTCGTACAAACTTAGTCTTCTTGTTGTTGTCGACGTTCGCATAAATGCCATACACGATGCTTTCAGGTGCTCGTACAGCACCTCTGTCTATTTTCAGACTAATCTAACAAGAATAACATTCATATTAACATAGATTTTATGAGATTATTTTTATTGTTTTCAAATTTGTTAGGACAAAAAAATCAATGATTAATATTCAATCTTGGCACATTTATTTGCATGGGTGCTATGTGTTCTATCTGTGTTGGTATTTTATAAGAAAATCTGAGTGATTGAATAAGACTACGACGTACATCTGCTGTTAAAAGAAGTATATAGATCATGACACCGGCATGTGAAAATGTAACAAAAAGCATGCCTAATTTTTGTGCATAGTATGGTACAAGCTTTTGATTGATATGGGCCTGAATGAAAATAGCTCGTAATGGAATTCCGGTAATACTTAGAATAATAAGCATGTAAACAATATGACGTAACATTTGAATCGATTGTTTTCGACGAAAACGTTCCACTAGAGATCGACGACGAAGATAAAAAATAATTTTCATATAAATCTTTGTAATGGTACAAGTCCAACAAGTTTAGGCGTTCAAGAACCAGGAAATCAAACACTGGCAATATTATCTATCATTAGTCGACTCGTACTAGTCACCTCACCATCATCATGTCATATGCAGAGTGCATGTCATGTTCAACCAGTACTTGTAGCTTATGATACATCGGGTAATATTATAGAAAAATTAGGTTCAAATGATCAACCATGGCCAGTTGTTGCTAGTATATTGGGCTCATCAAATGCAAGTGTTCATGGTGTTATTGCTAATTATTCAGATGAACAAACACAATTTTCAACATTTGGTGCTACAGCAACGGATTCATATCAAATTCGATTTGCTTTTATACTACCACGTGGTGTTAATAGGCAAATAAAAGGAAAAAAGAAGTAGATTTTTCTCTTTAGTTTTCCTTTTTTTAAGTTCATTTGTTGCAAATGTTAATTTAATAGTTAGTTCACCGACAGTATCAGTTACAGATCCTATATTAGATGCTATGCAAAACGATGATATTTCTGTTGTTTCAAAGAATGAAACATTTAATTTAACAGTTATAATCGTTGATAAAATCTCGAAAATTAAAATTGCAAATATTCAATGGATTAATTTTACATGAACAGCAACGGTTTCCTTTTATACTTCATTGCAACATCAAGGCAACGGTTCATTAATATTCTCATCGTCATCAACAGCTATTGTTAATTCGACAGCAGGTACAATAACAGCTACAAATTTGGCAATTAGTGAAATTGGAATGTATATTCTTAGTCTTGAAATAAAATCAACAAACAATCAATTCGATATTCCATTTATGCCAAATGCTGTCTTAGTTAAAGGAAATTCAAGTGAGCTGTTCGAAAGAAAATAATCAAATGATTATTAAAATCTTTTTTGTTTTGTTTTAAAGCTACTCTGGAAACGTTTTTCAGTGCTCCACCATCATATATAACTTTCAAGGGTGACTATTATGCAATGGTATCAGCTGGTACCATTAATTAGACACGAGCTTCAATCTATAATTATTTGGTTTTAATTCTCAAATTACCTATTACTAGCGAGATTATCTTAACAAATGGTTTGTTTAATTGAATTGTTTTTGTGAAATATTTTGTTTTCTTATCGAATCTATTATAATTTATAGGTAGTGTCAAATGTAGTTTCGGCACAAGTAGTAGGTGCATAGGTGCAGGTCAGAATTTACGGGCAGGTATTACTACATTGACGACAAGCGGTGTAAATAATTTAAAAGTTATTGAAGCAAATATTGACGCTCGATCATATATTGCCTCATCAAGTTCAGACGTCAGTTCAAGCAATCGCCAAGGATCGAATGTAGGATTAATTGTTGGTTTTACTGTGGGTTTTGGTTGCTTTGCTATTTTAATAGTTATAACAGTTGTTGGCTATCAAATATATGTAAAAACAAGCGAGAGGTCAACCTCTTGTTAATGAATGTGAAGAAGTAATTCCATTTTTGAATCAAGCAGAACCAGATAAGACCCATGAGATGAATCCACTACAGCCATCAAACGTCGATTCTCATAATCCATCATAAAAGACGGTTACATCACCAGATTTATTAAACTTAGACACTAATGACTATGATGCACCATTACCAAATAATAAAAAGCAACCACGAGTTCCATCAGCTGCGCTTAGTGTTACTTTGTTGGAAAATATGTTGTCAATCAACAACATTCCAAACGAACCAATGCCACCCGCCGTATTTATACAATTTGATTGCAATTACCATAACGCGTCTTCTTCATGAACAATTAAACAAAAACATTCTTTTTCTTTCTTACATTCATTTTTACTTTTCTCTCATAGAATCCTATCGAAATTCATAAAGCTTTCCAATAAACGTATATTTATATTTTTTCTCATAAATAGAACATAATTATTTCGGAGTTGCCTGCTTGTAAAAAGAAAAGCTTTTGAGTAATTAGTTCTATCCATTTGTATAGTTAATCATGATCAGGGTGTTAAATGTGCTTTTTCAAATATTTGCTTCATATCAAAGAAGTTAGAATACGAAGATTTATTGTTAACATTAGTATGAAATCTTCTCTTTCTCAATTTTTTGTTGATAATCGGTTGGCTTTAAATGGATAATATTGAATGGAAAAAAATCATTGAATAGAAAAAGAATTATCACTGCTTTTTTATACCACGAACTAGACGAATGTACCGGAAAAAAATTTACTTTAAATTGAAATGAACTATTCAGAACTAATTCATCGAAACAAGATAAGTATATATATGTCGTAGGATAGATTAAAATCCAGTACAGTTTTAAATCGAGCTAGGACAGATTAAAATTTTAATTTTTCCTAGTTCAGATTAAAATTTTGAAGTGAACTAGTTGACTTCGAAATGCATTTTAATCTCAACTAGTTGACTTTAAAATTTTGATCTGAACTAGGACAGATATAAATGTTTAGTCAAATTATCCGTGGCTGGCTGGTTGAAGATACGCGTTGGGGTGACGACAAGGGTCTATGGTGAATGATGATGAGTGAAGATGGAACTATTACCCGCGTCCTCGCGCTCGCCTTCACTTTCACCTATTATCCATCCAAATGTGTATATTTCAATCTGAACTAGTTCAAATCAAAATATTTTAATCTGTCCTGGTTCAGATCAAAATATTTGAAACTGTTCTAGTTCAGTTTAAAATATTTTGATTTTTCCTAGTTCAGATCAAAATTTTAAAGTCAACTAGTTGAGATTAAAATGCATTTCGAAGTCAACTAGTTCACTTTAAAATTTTAATCTGAACTAGGAAAAATTAAAATTTTAATCTGTCCTAGTTCGATTTAAAACTGTACTGGATTTCAATCTATCCTACGACATATATATACGAATAATTTTGACCTTTAATGATCTCGTTCATAGTAGTCTTCTCTATTCTATCTCGTAGTTATCTATTTAGATACTAGATAGATAGATAGATATGTAGCTATATATTTTCATGAACTATGAATCATAAGTAATTTTGTTTCTTGTTTCGTTCTTTAAATTTGTCACGAGTGTATTTCTTTCGACTAAACATATATTTTATTTAGATAGTAAAATCATTTTTCTATTTAAATAAGTAGTTGACCAATCCAAGCCAATCGATTATATAATGTCATCGTCATCACTAGTTTATTTCAATAAAGATACTTTTCTTGATGGTACAGGTCGAGGTAAATTATCTCGACAAGTTAAATTTACATTGGAATCAAATAATGAAACACCATGTGTACCATCATTGTCTATTGTTAAAGAAAAATCCGATAAAAAGAAACATCGTCATATCGCTAAAGTAATTTCTGTTGATATTCAACTGCCATTACCACCTAACTTAGAACGTAGACCACAAACACTTATTTCATGTGAACAATTTCCAAATAATTATATATCTCCAACAAGTTTATCTATTCTTCATTGGTCAAAATATCATGGACGAAATGTAACATTTTATTTAAAAGATATTGGCTATTTTTCAACTGCTGATCGTTCAGATGCAAATCGTTGTCGAGAAGATTTTCGTTATTTAAAACGACTTATCTATGATATTGATGATACACGAGAATTAAAACAAATGAAAATTGAATTTGATCTTAACATTGGTTCAGCTTATTTAATTCCAGCTGAACCAGCAGCGTCACTCGATGCTTTACTTTGGTGGATCAGTAAACATAAACATAGTTTATTAGATAAAAAACGACGGTAATTATTTATTTCGAACGAAAAATTTATTGATAAATTATTTGTTTTTTTATTTTTGGTTGTTTAAAGATTTACATTTGATTTTGTTGCTTGGCGTGGAACAATAAGAAAAATCATGTCATCATTATTTAATAATGAAACTGATTGGCGTATTGGTGTTATTCGTTTTCGTGGTGCTTACTTTTTACATGTATTTCATACAGAAACAGAATTAAGTATTGAATTTGGCCAAACGCCTATTGAACAACGCATGTGTTATTGGGGACATAAATTTGAAGATTACCTCTGCTCAGGTATTTGGAGAAAGAATACATAGTAAAAGCACAGATTAATTGAAAAGAATTTTCAGCATATGAGACTCACAAGAAGCTTTGAGAGAGCTAGAAAAAGTCATAGATGATTGGTTCTCGTGAGAATTCAAATTGAACTCAAGATCATATTACTAAATTTTCGATTCAAACATACACATACGTATGTCCTTGAGTCTAGAAAATAGAAATTGTTCTCATATATAGTATATAAAAGCTACGTTTCGAATATTCAGTTGACTTGAAAATCTAATATCACAACAAAACCAAAACAGAAAAGTTATGTCTAACACAAATTTTCAGAAATAAAAAAGAGTTTCAATATTGTTTTTCTTCTCTTCTTAGAAACGCCTCCATTGTTTCCGTGTCCAAAGAAACTTTTTTCACTGGTAAATTTAGCTACATTAGGTGTGCATACTCTTTTATATGGTAGTGAAATTGACGCTTGTACGCAAGATTCAATTCTAATCGATGATAACAATCCGAAAGCAACGAAAAATTCGCATAACGGTACTGATTCAAACATACAACATAAGAAGAAACGAAAGTTTGTTGAAATTAAAGTTATTTATGCAAAAAATATGTTGGATTTACATACATCAACGTAAGAAAACTAATATAATATAGTATAATGAAACTATTAAATTATATTTAGGGCTCATAAATATGGGAAATGGTGGTCACAATGTTTCTTGACTGGTATTGAACAAATTTTATTAGGTTTTCGTGATGATTATGGTGTTGTTCGACAAATTCAACCATTACTTATCAAAGATATTGAAACACGTGCTGTAAGATGCCATACATGGGCAGATGAAAACTATTGAATAAAATATATTCTCTTTATAGCGTACATGGAGTTCAAGTTCATTTTTATCATTTCTCAATGACTTTTGTGTTTTCGTTCGGAAGACAATTACAAAGGATTATTTCGAAGATGGAAAGTCAGTAATCATTTTATATGAATGATAATTATTTTTTAATAGAATTCTCTTTTCTTTTTTTAAAAGAACCGTCTATCTCTTCTATTTTTCTCCACAAGAGAAAAAAATTAAATGGCTCAGTACAACTGAATCGAAGTATCAATTCTTACCCGAATGGTTTACTTCACAAGATTTTACACTGTCAGAAGTATAATTGCTATCGGAGCGGAAAACAATGAACAGTATGATTTATGTGATCTAGTGTTTTGTTAGATATTATTCTCTTGTTTTTGTTTGTTGGTTTATATATCTATTTATCTGAAGTCTATTTAAAAAAAAACTTTTGAAATAAAAATCTATTGAGAAAATATTCAAGTCTACTTTCAACTTAATTTGAAAGTAGTTTTTATTTGTAAATAGAGAAAGTATTTCATCGTAATGGAACAACATAATTTAAAAAACCAGTGTCTCTACTATATATTATTCAAGACAATATTTATTGTTAGACAATTTCATCTCATATTATTTTGTGGCAAAAATTAAATCTTACTATGAAAAGATGAGACAAACTTCGTTTTCAACGTAGCGTTCTCTATGTAAGTAGTTCTTTTACTGGAGATCATAGTTGGCCATTGCTATCGAACAGAACATTGCACAATCATGATGCAATTACTGTCAACGAGTATTAATGGCAATACTACAGCAAAACGTGGCAAACAACATGTGTACATTCAATGGTATATTGTCAGAATATCCATGGATTTCAATTGATTCATTTCTTGAAGCAAATTGTCAAGTATCGCGAGTTTTCTTTGTTTCACACATGTAATTTATTGTTTCTGATATTTTTACTTTCTTTAATAAAAATTTCAAGTTTTTCATAGACATACAGATCATCTCCGTGGTTTGGATGAATCAACATTTTATCAATATACCACAAATAATCCTTCTATACGTATATATTGTTCAGAAAGTTCAAGGCATTTTCTCTCAATATTACCTGCCTATAAACATCTGTCAAAATTTTATTCAATAATAAATGTGAATCAACCATTAACTATACAAAATCCCACTGATAAAAGTATTGAAAATTTAAAAGAAAAAGGAAAATTTTGTTTTAACACTTTTTGTTTCTTAGATGTTTCATTAACAGTTACATGTTTTGGTTCTGGTCATTGTCCTGGTTCATTGATGCTACTTTTCGAAGGTTCTCATGGTACTGTTTTATATACTGGTGATTTTCGTCTTTATTCTCATCAGTCCAATCGTCATCGTATTATATTATCGAAGAAACCTATCGATACACTCTATATTGATATGACTTTTTTCGAGCCATCTATTCGACAATTACCTCAACGTAAGCAATCATGTCAAAAGCTAATTCATTTAATTGAGCAATATGATAACAGATATTTTCATCTTAAAACATCTGCACGTGTCGGTTACGAATATATTTATACATCATTATATCATCATTTCGGAATTTTGATTCATGTTAATCATGAACAATATCATTTATACGATTGTTTACCACAAGTTCAACAAGCATTAACAACTGATGGAAGTAGAACAAGAATTCATGCATGTTGGCCCAATTGTTCACATTCTAAATTTTCAATTAAAGTAGTCGTTTTCAATGTTTTTGTAATAGTCATTTTTACATTTTAGTTTAGATTGTTCTTTCGGTTCTTTGGTTTACTTTACAACAACAATCGAATTGTCCACTTATTCGAATTGCTACTGATTATTATCGTCTTTGTTATTCACTTCATTCGTCGTATAATGAAATATGTACATTCGTGAAACAAATATCTCCGATTCGTATTCATCCAATAGCTTTACCCAGTCAATTAACATCAGAACGATTTAATGAACTTATTAAACAATTAGGAATCCATCAAAATCAAACGAATTGCTTTGCATCAAATAATATCGTACAACAAATTAAAAGACGTTATCAAATGACTGAAAATACTGATATTGATGATGACGATGAACTTGATTTTGGTTTTCATAAAAACCGAGACAACAATGAAAAACAATTATATAAACGAATCAGTAATTTACAACAGCCGTCAAATAAAAAGTGTAAATAGAAAAATAAGAATTTTTACTTATCAATTTTGTTATCTCATATTATTTTTTGACTTAGTGAAGATTTGACTTATCAGTGAATATAGTAAATAAACACTGTATGAACAGCATGAATCTAGTTGTTGCTCGTTTCCACCACAATTAACAATTCAACAAGAAAATCATTTGGACTAAATGGTCAATTAGTCGAGTACTATAATCTCAGTTCTTTTTGTTACTATATAAATAAAAATGTATGTATCACAGTTAAACGGATGCCCGTCAATCTTTCGAATAAAAGTAAAGACTGTTGATTAAATTTATATGCTTAACTTAACATAGCATATAAATAGTGACACTAGAATGCTTCCCAGGTCGATCGAAACGGGCCACCGTAAACCGGCGTAACATTACCGTAAACAGTCGTTTTTGCATCATATTTCGTCGTAAAACGGCCGTTTTAAGTCGAATTAAGGCGTTTTAACAGGGTCAGTATTACGGCCATACACGGACATCGTATATCAGCCGTAAAACCTCGTAAAGCCGGCGTAATATTATCGTATTCTATAGAACATACGGCCGTATTACTACCCCTGTTATACGGGGAAAATACGGCACGTAAAACGGACCGTATTTGTATCGAATACGACCGTTTACTGATCGTTTTCTTCGGCCGGGGTTGTTGTCCGTTTTTTGCATGTTCACTGATAATTAATTGTATCAGCACTGTTACTTCTACAATTTAAATGGATGAACTTAATATTCGCGTACTACATGTAGGTCTGAGGTGAGTTACGTATTGTAGAAGCAGTTGAGTTCTTTGGGTTTGTGGAGGTGGTACATTATTAGATAGTTATTGGTCTATATGATCTAGGGTGTTGGTGTCATTGAAGAGCTCACCCACACCCGCATCATACTTTATATTTAATCGTTTCGACCACGAAGTTTTCTTGCGTTCTGTAGGAATAGATACGAAAAAAAGTGATTTTAATCTCTTTCTGATATAAGTTCATCTATCTAAGTCATGTGCGTTCAAAATCTAGATTCGTTATTCATAGCCATTGAACACAAAATATTTCTTTTTCCATTCTACATATCGTCTCGTACATGACATGCGGGATTGAAATGGTTAAGTGCTCGTGCGAAATCACTCGACAAATGGAAATGGTGTCGTCGAATATATAAGTCTTCTCTTTCTTTTTGTGAAGATACTTTTCCATAGAGTTAACTTTCATTAGAATAACTATAATAGGTTTAATCATTTATTGGTCTCAACGATTAAACTCATTAATAAAAACTTCTACATATTTGACAATACAATTATTGTCGATTGCGAATACATTTTGCATAAATCACACGTGGAATATTTTATTCTTCATCTTGGCGTTCTTGGTGGGATTAATGTGGTAGAAATTGACAAGAACTCATGTGTAAAAGGAAAATATAATCGAACTTTTCAAGTAGATACTCAGTGGATTTTTGACGAGATTGATAGATACACCTATAAATGCATTACTATTATCGTAGATCGATGAAAACACTGCAACAGTAATGCCAGACAATTAGAAGTTTATTTGACTTCGTATTGCAATATATATGTAGTGGTGAATAGTGTAATTACAACACAATTAATAATGGTATATTAATGTTCATGATCGTTATATACGCGAAGTAGTTTATTATTTGGTAATTTCCTCAATCCAACAACATGAATGCATATATAAAGGATCTCAAATTCAAGGCTGATGACAAAAATTAAAAGGGAAGGATAAAAACGTTCAACGCCGATGATTATAATAGAGATACATTTGCAGAGCAAGCGCACCCATACTCTCATCATGGTTTCCAATAGTGTTACAAATAGAAAGGGTCTTCATCAACATACTTACCAACCGGTCAACTACACCTTACACTTAACAGATCCGAAAAAAATTAACCTATACAAAACATAATGAAACTTTGGATATAATGAAAAGACAAAAGAAATCTCAAATGGATCAACATTTTTCTCTCATAAAAACTTATCTAACTGAGTTCATGTAGCGTTGAAGTTCTGCAAACAGTCGCCCAGTGTAAATAATCATAAAAAAGAAACGGTGTAAAACGCGTTCCAATTTCAGAGACAAGTTTTTCAAAAAGTGGAAACCGTTCCAAAAAGGAATGATGGAGAAAGCGTGTTTTTCCTAAAAACAATTTTTTATCTTTTCGGAATCTATATCGCTCCCATTTGGAAATGTTGGATAACGAATTCCACCATCTAACGGAATCTTTCTCGACCAATTCTATAAAAAGTACTTTCTTCTGAATTATCTAACTACCTGGAATTCATCTTTTTTTCTGTTTTGAATTTGTCATACATATTATTATTCTATTTGACTTACGTGTTTTTTTAATTTCGTTAGCTGGTTTTGACTTGTCGCTGCTTCGGGCTGGGCTCGTACTAATTTATCTATGTTTGTATGCTATTAAACTATCTTGTCCGATAGTTATTGTAGTGAAAATACTACTGGAGTTGAACAAAATATTAGAATAAAAACATGTAATTTTCATTGTAAACGTTCATTTCCTTTCATATTTAACAAAGAAAAGATAAAATTTTTAGTTTTAGTCTATTGCTTTTAAAATTAAAATAATCAATTATTACATAAAATAAATATTTATCTAAATATTTTAAAACAACTTATGCTTACATATTATATGACATAAATCTACTGTACGGATTAATATGTATTCTTTTTAAATATGAATATATATATTTAAATTTTAAATGTAATATTCAAATAAAAAATTAGATCAGCTAGGCAAATATTTATGGGACGACTTTTCCAAAACTAATCTCAACAGAAATTATAAAATTCCTTTTTTCATATCAATTGTACAAGAGACACATCCTTGTGCTATTAAAACTAACTATTCGATCCAGAAACTAACAACATGCTAGCCATCTACTATCAGCACCCAAAAAAATGTGGCATAAATGTGCGATTATATTATCCATGTATGAGGCCCAGCCAAAATTTACTTGTTTCTTAAATCTTTAGCCCGCTCTATTTATTTCTCGAAATTAAAATTAATCTTGTACCTATAATAATTTATATCGAAACGGATATTTTTTATGTATAAATTTTGGTATTTATATTTATCAAATGAATATATATATATACACGTATGTACATTTGAAAAATGTAGAATGATAGAGAACATTTTCTCTTCGTTCCAAGAATGAATCATGGTTTGGAAAGCGTTCATTACGCCCGAGAGTCCATTCTTAGGCATTCCATTACAAAACGTGAGAGAAAGCGATCTCCTTAAAATGGAACTCAATCCTGACCTTTCCCAGGTAGAACGAAAAAAAAACATTCTGATAGTGATTGGAACGGGTTAGAAGACTTTCTATTCTGATGAAGAAAGATTTTTGGACTAGGAAGAAAAGATTCCATAACAGTATTGAAAGTTGAAGAATGCATTCACTCGGATGTTGAACGAGTTCTTTTCAGTAATAAACACACTCGTCAACTTATATAATGTGTTCTCCAGGAAAAATATAGTTTTCTCTATTCTGATGAATGCGTTCCTTTCCGTTTTTTTTTCTATGATTATTTTTCACTGGGTCTCTTCGATAATCTTGTGAGCACTTTAAGAACAATATTCTGTTTAATTCGTCCTTAGTGTACTTTCCTCTTTTGTTTCCAATAAATCTTGTACGTCATACACAACATATTTGATCAGTAGCGACACTGTGATTGATGAAGATATTGTGACAACAATTCCCTAGTCAACTCTCCGTTAAAGAATCCCCAGGGAGTCCCCTGACAAATCNTTAAGAAAAGTCTTCACTACGATCAATGCGCCGTATTTACACGTAACTACGACGTAAAATTGGCTATGCGCATAACTGCGACGCAGTTGGTAAAAAAGAGGTGACATGGGTATTAAAACAATGATTAATGATTACCATTTAATGCATTATTAAACATATTTTTTAATTTGGAGAATGAAAACGTTAAGAAAAATTTGTCAATGTAATAATATATGATCAAATAAAAATAACAAACCTGACAACAATTTTTATTTGCATTAAAATACTTGAGAAGGCAGTGAGTGAATGAGTAAAGAAAACAAATTCACTCACTCAAGAACAAAATTAGTCATATTATTTAACTGTCACAGCGACAACAATTTAAAAGATTATTCATCTAAAAAAATAGTATGATTCAATTCAATAATGTACTATCAAAATTATAGTAAATAGTTGCAAAGCATTCTACTACCATGTGAATTTCAATTGTATTTTCTATGATATTTCAGTGAAAATAGATCTCGATAAACTTGAACCATGCCTACCGATCCAACAGATTCCATATGAAAATATGCATATGATTCTTTAAATATAGACGCTTTCGATATTTATATTACATGAATAAGGAAATTCTTCATCAATGTTTGTAAATACGCAATTTTCAGAAAAACATTTTTTAAAAATAGAACCACAATCCGAGAAAATTGTGGAGGTTTACCAGTTGACTTAGCTGCAGTTATCGATGAATTTTCAATACATCACATAAACCTTAATGTCAATATTATTCAAAAATCAGTCTTACTAAAACTACTTAACATACAATTTTTATTGACGGTAGAATTAGCATTCAAATCTCTAACAAATGTTTAAAAACCATAAAAATGATTTTTTTTACCCAGCCATTCTCTCTGGTTCATAAAATATCTACATTTACCTTCTGAATTTTTGATATAAAAGCTGATTTCATGATTTATGAAACCATATCCAAACTTTGGTGATGGATAAACAGATGATCATACTTGTAACTATTTTTTGTGATCTTCGGTTCTGCATTTTCATGGAGGTTATATTGGAATCGATGTTATATTTATATTTACTACAAATTCCATCATTGTGTCAAATTTAATACGCTCATTCCACGCTTGAATAAATAAATCAATAAGGCTATCAAATTTCAAGAAAGTCGAATATATTGATACCGACTAAGTTGATTTTTTTAATGAATTAGAACACACTATTCAGAAATTTTAGTTAGAGCATTAATTATTCTTAAAGATCTTACACATATTAATCATACATGACATCAAGACTCTGCTATATACGTTTATATGTTCAGTATACCGAAAAGAAAGATAGCTAAGATTGAAATTCATGAGCATTTCACTTATTAATGAATGTTTATCGAATTCTGGTTGATTCTTAAAATATTATTCTCTAATAATGAGATTGTAGCGATCAATGATTTACTATTTCTAAATTAATCATCGTAAATAAAACTGTCAAAAGTTTATTGATTCACACATTCATAGTAAAGTTAAATAGCATCAACATATATCGATATCCTTAGAATAATTTAAGTCAATACATTTAATCGAAAAAGAAACCCTATGAATTTCAATGAAATTTGAAATTTCTCAAGAAAAAAGTTATTACTTTAAAAATAATATCCTTTATCGACTGTGTTCATTATAATAATGATCTATGAAAAGTTGATATATGCCACGTGAATGAGCACATTGACAAGCTAATATTGAAATATTTATTCACTATTGACTTTCGATGGCATATCATTACTCAATTAAATTTGATTTACATAGAGTTTGAAATATATAATTATTATTTTAAATAAAAATGCAACATTTAAATGTTAGATTTTTCTTTATCAAATTGAATAGAATCAAATAGTATAAATATTGTTGGTCGATGAGGTGTTTAATCTCTTATTGCATAATTTATTTATTTTTTATACTTCCTAGTTTTTTACAGTAGTTATAGCAACTGTCAAAAGTTATAGAATATTTTAGACCTCATAGAAGATAAGACTACATATATTTATTTAGCTCTTTTAAATGCAATGCAGTATAACATACGCTGCACCATGACAATATATATATATATATATGTAATAAGAAGCATGATTGATCGCGAACGTTTTTTTACATATTTTTTAATTCATTTTCATACTAGAGAAATCAGTGTTAAATTTATCGAAAAAACGGAATAGAGTTATTCTGGATGAGATTCTATTCTTTATAATTTTCTTATCTATTATGCTAAGTATTATGTTCAGCTAGGAAGTTCAATAGAATAAATTTTACTAATTGCCTCCTAAAAAATGCTTGGTTTTCATCGTAATGATGAATTGAGAGGACTAAAACGAGTGACGAGAAGTCTGCCTCCCACTATGGACTAGTTTATTATTTTTTTTATATCAGACAAGGCCAAACAACAGACAAGTTTATTTTATTTTAGATAAGCCTCAAAAATGCATTTTTTTTTGCTTTTGATAAGCGTTATTTTCTAGCAGTACCTATCGTATACAATGTTACATGCATCGTAAACTCACCGAAATTGATTTGAAATGCTTCTGTTGTTATGATACATTTTCTAACAGTACAGCCGAAAAGAAAAATAACTCCTAAAAACAATTCACACTCATATTATTTCTATGTGTGATATAATTATGCGTATCAACTTTAAGAGCATATAAACTTCATCTTTGACTCCTGCTTCATGAAAAAGTTTCTTTTGTTCGTTGTCGACGTACTATTAATAAATTATAGTCTCAATATTGCAAGATCACAAAATTCATGTGTTATTACTAAAGAATACATATTTATGTAACACAACGGATTATTGCTCAAAAAGATTCGTCTTACGATTCAAATTTAATCGATCGTTATCATTCAATTTTATTTTTTTGATAAAATAAAATAAAAAACACTTATGTTAATAAGATCAGTAGATTATCACAATTGTTTAAAATATGACAAAGAAATAATTTATCAAAACCATTGATTTCGCACAATAGCCCAAAGTTTATCTTCAACACGAACAGCTTTAAGATCATTAAATGTCAGTGGACTTAATGATGCTAATTCGCTATAGAATTCTTTTGAATAAAAATCTTGTAATCGAGATGCAGCTTCTAAAACCAATACAACAGAAAACATCATCATCGAAACGCGAACATATTGAGCTAATGTAACACCCGTTGTCTGATCTGATACTGTTCGTTGATCATCACTGAATTTTTCAAATGCAGGTGCACAATAACAATATTGAATAAGGCGAGCTGTTGGCGCATCTAACGTTTGACCTTCAGCAAGTGTTTGAGTAAAAATTGTTCGATGATTATTTTTCATATCTTCTTTAACATCCTAGAAGAAGAAGAAGACGAAAAAAGTGAAATCCTTAATTTCGTTTTTCTTGTTCCAAATTACACTTACTTGTAGATCATCAAGTAATTGTAAACCGAATCCTAAATATTCTAAATAAGCCATTTTAGCTCTCGTTAATCTCCCTTCGATTAGAAATCCAGCAGCTATCAATGATGCGCCACCTTTTTCTGCGCTAACTTGTTCTACTTGCGTCATAGTTGGTGCATAACCATCATCAGTTGTTGCATGCTGTAATGTTGATTTCATTTGCGATTCATGTATTGTAGCTAAACTCATATAAACACCGTCATATTCACTGCCACGTCTCCAATCGTTCTCAATAAATTTCACCATGTCAAATATTTTTACTACGCGATTTGCATGTGGTTGTAAAGATGATGGTAAATTTAATTCCTCAACATTCGATTGTTTTCCATCGAAATGCACTTTCGGATCGTAGGTTGACTCGCCGTGGAGTAGTCGTTCATGAAATACTTTTGCAAAGTCTTTTTTCGCTTCTCGACTAATATCATTGCAATCGACTAAATCATCGGTATAGGGATAGAGCATATTATAGCCAAATATGGAATCAGTTAAAATCAACGGTAAATTAAGTTGCATCTGAAAAGCAATCATGAACCAAACGGTTCGTCCAGCTTTAAATAATTCTTCGAAACTAATTGTTGGATCATATCGCTGCCCTTTGCTAAGAAATTCTGATGTGATCCTGCCCATTGATTGATATATACCATAAAGAGATTCATCTTTTAATGTCGGTACATTTAATGTTTCATTCCATAGACGGAAACCTGAAATATTGATCGAATCAAATTTTAATTAAAGCATATATTGATTCTGATTTCTTTTTCTTCTCCTTCTTATTTCGATGCTAAGATTACGATCTCATAGTAGAACAAAAAAAAACAATGTTAAACAAAAACAATTGTATAATCTATCTCAAATGAATAATGTTTACGTCATCATTCTAAACTTTGTTCTTTGACATCACTGACTAAGAACTTAATCTATATTTACTGAATAATTTTATCAAAAATTACCTTGAGAATGAGAAGAAAAAACAGCACTGCTATTTATCTTGTCTTAATAATAAATGAAATTTAACTTTTATTTAAACTTACCATTCGATTGAATCTTCTTTTTGAGAAATGTTTTCTTGAACAATGTACAATAGAAAGCAAAAAATTTCAATTTTCTCAAACGAGATCGTTGTTGTTTGGATGTTTGCCGTCTGACTAGACGATTCTCAACAGATGGTAAGCCATTGGGCAATGAATACCATAATTTTAATGTACTATCATAGTTTAATGCCAATCGTTCTTTTCGAAATTCTTCATAACTTGTGAATTCGAAGTAAGAGTCGGCATTTAAATCGACCATCTAGAAAACAAAAACAGATATATATATATATATATCACTCAGAAGTTTAACCATGAGGTTTTATTGAAATAATAAGTTCAAATTATTTGTCTCCAACAATCTGATCGAACAATTATAGAATTCTATCGATGTTTCTTATTTTCCACCTTCTATTTCTTTTTCTTCTCTATTGCCTCCTACTCTTTCTCCAAGGATATTTTACACAATGGCGAAGCCGTGTAAGTTAATGCGATGTTATGATGATGGTTGACGGTGACAACCAACAGTTTTTTTTAAAGAGTAGAATATAAAAAAAAGAAAGCGGAAAGAAAAAATAGAACCACTTTCAAGTAGTGACGAAGGTTGATGAATCATCTACGGGAGAAAATGCACGCGATCAACGTAGGACTATTTGTTCTTAACTTCAAAAGTAATTTTGAAGTATAATAAAGGAACAGTGAAGAACGACCAAAGAAAACAACAGAATCGTACTTGCAGAAGTAAAATAAACTGTCTGCATTCTTTTTTATTATTATTTTCACTGAAGATTAAAAGATATTAGAACACATACTAGAGTTGCATGAGTGCCTATCACATTGCCCCTAAGTTTCTCGAGTATTCGATTAGATCACTTTAACTTAGATTTATATCCACTGGGACTATTCATCATTCGCATTGACATAATAATTATGCTAATGAACAAATGGTTTGACATCTATTAGATACTCTCCTAGGAAGTTGGTTTCAATCTCTTGCATGTTCAAGAGGCATCTGAAGTACTTAACAAAATTGTTTCTTTAAAATATTTCTTTTTTCTCTCTCTATAATAATGCGCTTGCTCAATGTTACCAAGAGTTTCGAACGAAGGCATGTTCTTTCTGTTTTACATAATGCATGGAAGTGCACGTTGTCAACAATATATGATTCTGATTTTTGTAATGACGTCGATAGAAAATAATAATAATAAAAACATAGGACAAATAAAAACCGTGAAGAGCACAGTTCATCTCAAATTTCTTCACGTATGCCATTATCCACATGTAATCTTGTATGCGAAGGATGATCAAAATTTTTTTTGATCGATCGATTTCAGCAATAGTAGCTTGACAAAAACCAAATACACATGCAAAATCTAGAGTTTGTAAGAAAGAAAAATAAATTTTCTTCTTTTATATACAATTAGGATAAAAAATAAAAATTTATTATGTAAAAGCATAAAAAAACAGTAACATCAGAATGAATATGAAAGAGAAAAATAAAGAAATTAATACAAGAAACCATGCACCGAGCATAACATCATTAAATCGATGAAATGTTTGATCTTTTTTTGGTATACATGCTCGATGACGTTGATAAGCTAATTTTTCATCATCGGATGACAATCGACCAATACGAAAAAGAAACGGTGACCATGGAGAAGCACAATAAATACGAAACCAAGCTGAAGGATGTCGAAAAAATAAATAGAATAAATTAACTCTTACACCTAGTTCATCACCGATGACATCCGTAAATTCAAAAAGGTTAACTAATTGTTTAAGCCGTTTATGATCATGTGGATAAAGAGAAGCATGTCTTGTCCAATATGCTCGACGACGTTGAGCCATCACTTTCTCTGATGGTAAATGGCATCGACCAGAAAATACAGCAGCTACCCAACGTGCTTGTAGTTCGGCTAATGCTGGTATAGAGCCAAATACAGGTCTTGCTGTACCAACAAATGCTAAAGTTCCATTAACACCAGATGCAAATACAAGCTTGTATAAATCATGTATATCTGAACTAGGAAAAAAGGGATGTGTCCATTGGTAACCAGTACAAAGAAGGATATGATCAACTTCAACAGGAGTCTCGTCTTTGTCAAATGTTATCAGCTGTCTGTCAATATTGGCAATGCCTCGTTTTGGAATAACACGATCAAGCGCAATATGATCAACGACTTCCCGACTTTTATTGATAAAGCCATGCAGAAATGGCACTGTCGGTGCCCATTCTCGAACACCTGTACCACCAATACCCCACATAGGTACGAAAAACATTCGTCTCCAACAACGAACTAAAATATTATTATAATAACCGAATATTCGCATCAGCATTGTATACATAACATCAGCTGGCTGTTGACCTAATATACGTGATTGAAACCATTGACCTTCGCGAATACTCATATAAACAGTTTTAGCTACTGTAACACTTAATTCTACAGCTAGATCACTGCCTGTTTCACCGCCACCAACAATAAGAATTCGTTTATTAGTAAACTTATTATCATAGGGACTTTTATAAGCTATGCTATGAGAAAATGTACCAGTAAATTGATTGAAGGGATAAGTAGAGCGTGGATCATTAGCAATTTGATGTTGCCCTGAACATACAACAAGATAATCACAACTAACAATTTTCAGTCCATCATCGAAGGTTAATATCCATTGTGGTTCGACCCGTACAATTTTTGAATTAAGATGAATATTTGACCAAAGTTTGAAATGATCAGCATAAGAATGTAAATAAGCAAGAACTTCTTCATGGGAAGGAAATTCTCCGACTGAACTTGGAAATGGAAAGTCAGAAGCATGTAAAAATGTTTTTGACGATGTAGCATGAGCTGATTTATAGACACCACCAATGGCTTCATTTTCAGCGAAATACCAAATACCTCCAATATTTGAACGACTTTCATATAGATGGGCGTCGAGACCTTCGCCTAACAGATATTTCAGAGCATAAAGACCAGTCCAACCACCACCGATGACTACTACACCATGCTTATTCCTTGAATATATTTAGATTAAATTAAATTATTATTTTCTATTTAATTTACCTATTTTCTGTTTCCAATAATAGAGGCTGTTCGAATTCTGTCATTGAGTTTCTTTAGAGCAAATACACTATTTTGCAATAACATTTTTTTTCAAAAATAAATATAAGTTGATGAATGCTATTTTTCTCTATTCTTTTTCTTTCTCGTCACCCTCTCGACGGTCACGAACATGCGTTTATCGACTATTTATTCTCATGGAACAAAAAAACAGTAGTTTGACGTATAAAAAAAAGGTGTAGCCGAGCCCTCTTTTTCTATTACAGATATAGACCTCCGATTTCGTATTAATTGAGTCCTGTACTACATTTCACAACATCGTAACATTTAATTTAATGCGCACCTGCTATAAATATCATGTATACGGTTAAAAAAAGCTGTCGAAGGATTTATTATTAACTGACGTTAAAATATTCTTGTCAAAATATGTCGCGTTCTTAACATCATCTCTATCTGAAAACAATAAATATTTATTACAAAAAAATTATGTTTTTAAAATATTTGAAGTTGATATTTTATCATTTCTAAATCGACCAACATAATTATTCTATTTAAAGATAATATGAGTTGAGCCTTCTTTGAGACTTTCTTTTCAAAAAAAAAAGAAAAGTAGATTACTTATTGCCCACTAGATTTCTTCTATCTTAATCTCTTTATCAAAGACAGAACGAAAAAATATTTAATAGAGCAACTTCTCATGCATGCTCATACTCACCGACAAGAAAACGATGCATTACGACTCATTAAAAACATTTCTTCTGTCAATTATTATTCATGCGAATTATTCTCTTGTACAAGAGAATAAATGGCACCGTTTTAATCATGTTATTGAAATAGTGAGACACTTCGTTATGAGCTCACAATGAAACGTTTCACTATTTCAACAAAATGATTAAAACGGTGTCTATTATTCTCTTATTTATATTAAAATGTTTTCACCGTATAAACAAACATAAATCCATTATACTCTTGTATCTTATCATAGAATATTGAAATGAATTGTATACAACATATATCGAGTTATCTCTCAAAGGAAAAAAAACACTGCTTTAATCTTCTATTTCATGTTGGTGTATGAAAAGAGCAGGACGTTGCTTTATTTTTGTTGTTGTAAAATTCGCACAATCTATAGTTATGCTAGAAGTGTTACAAAAAAGGTAGAAGAAATTCGTTTTTCACAAAAAAATCAGCGATCGGATCGAAAAAACTCAAAATAGTATTGCGATATAATCAACTAGAAATTTTGTTTGTCATGTCTGACAAATTTGTCAGTGGTCTTGAGATAAATATACTAGGGAACATGTTGACTAAACGGTGTCTGCTATCAAAATACTTAATTTTATATGTCACATTCGTTAACTTACTCTTTTGTTTTTTTATGCAATCGATTTCATGGTATAATTATTTCTCGTTGCACCCTGTTAACCTCAATTCACTTCAGTAGACAATAATTTATTTTAAGAAACTTATCCGTGGTTTAATACAAGTCCATGAGTAAAGCAGCATACTAATATGAAATGCTTTGGACAATGTTACTTTTATCGATCGATTTGATAAGATTCCTAATCGCACAAATACGAAATGATTGGTATCATCTGTTTTTTTCTAGAGCACGTCAGATTTAGTCGCCTTGAGAATATTGACATAATTGTGCCTATTACAGAAATTCGATAAATTACAAACAAGAAATGTGCGAGATACAAATGAAAAAGGTGTTAACGTAATCCCTGTGGGATTAAAATGTGAAACACAATGAAACTCCTTTTCTGGAATCCGTGTATCACGCTCAGTGATGGTCTATGGAGTTTCTCTGTTACGGTCTGTATTATGATGTATGGAGTCTCTAGAAATCATCACAAACCGTTACAGAGAAAAAGAGTTAATTAATTTCTCTGTAACGGTCTGTGTGTGTGTGTGTGGGGAGGGGGGGGGGTTCAAATTGCTACCCTATATACTTCAACAATCCTTTCAGAGCGTATTTCACAAAAAGTTTAGACTATAGTAGAATCATACTAGAAAATCATAAACAATCAAGAAAATTTATCGATGATGATGACTGGCTTAAGATAAGCTCACTTATATGTAAATACGTTGAAAATTATTACGAGTTTTTCAATGAAAGATGTTTTTTTTGATTAGTCACATAATTCTGAGTATATAAAGCCACGACCTTGTTGCTATTAATATTCATACTATGACTCTATCGACATGTATTCATTATTTTAATTAATAAATCAAGTATTTCTTTAATTGAACCATGGAAATTAATTTGTCTTTAAAGATAAAATTTCCGCTGTCTTGTCAAAGCACTTTTATATATAGATATAACTCTTTCCTGTTTTGTTAATATTGGTAATGAAGCATATTTTTTTCTAAGTTTGTCTCATTATATAGAATGATTCTAATAAAACATGTTCACATTACGTTCACTAATTATAAAGTCAAAAGCAAGGCGCGTTATCTTCAGGAAAACTCGTTAGCATAAGTTGCCTTGATCTCAAGCTATGAAGATCTTTTTAATGCTATGCTTCGCATCGCATTTCTGTAGTCCGTCGCGTGTTTTCTTTTGCTGTTGCTTTCTCGACGTACGCATCTTTTCGTCATTTTTTGACGCGATGATCTCGAGTACCGAAAAATCATAGAAAACTCATTGAAACGGGTGATGAAAGTATCGAGATCAAACTTCTGACATCTTTTTTCCATTCTTTAATCGGATATTCTATTCACTCACAAATAACGTTCCAAAACGACGAAAATGAAAGAAATTTGTTTCGAGATAATTAAAATGACGTCATCAACATATGTTAGTCACTATAGTCTATTCACTTACAGCTGATCTAAGATAATGAATCATAGAGATAATTAATCGATCAATCGAAATCGGTCTTTAAGAATGTATGGCTAAGAAAGAATAGAGCTTTCAGAGTGATGAATTGCATTATGGCTACATAAACATTATTCAAAATTTTTCTGAATTGTAGATTTTTTGTAGAAAATCGGGATCCTTGGTTCGCATCAGATTTCTCATATGACCGAAACTCGAATACCATCTAGTGTTATATACATTCTTATTATTTGAATACAAAATACGCAATATTATAATTTCTCTATGCTGATAATCTGTTGTATCAATGTTTAGTCGTCCTTCATTGTTCCATTTCGAATTTGAATTATTATTGCTGGCTCGCTCTATATCTTTTATTCGTCTTATTACCATGTTCTCGCTGCATATTTGCATTTGCATTTACATTTCTTTGTTTCAAATTTCTTCCTTTCTTTTTGTTGATTTAACTATTATATTAATTTATTGTAAGCGTTCGTTTACTGATTCACAATACTTGATGTTTAATATCGGTATAAATTTGCAAACCGTCGAATCGATTCTTAGTTTTTCCGTCAGCTGCATATCGATGACAGTATTGGTGTTATTATAATATTATTGAATTAAATTATGTAAAAAACGAATAAATTTCATAATGAATACATACCAGTATATTTATGTTGATTACTTTTAGATTAGAACAGCACTCGCGAGTTTAACGTAGACATTTTGGAAAATGAATATCTGTGTTTACATAAATACCATTCGTTTAGTATTAGTCGGATATGTTTGAGTAAGATTAACCTTTAACTACTATAAACAGATACAAATGTTGAATTTCGATCTTTATTTTGTGTTACTTTCAATATTAGTTCTAGCAAAGCTCATAAAATAAATTACGGCCTATTTTCAATTACTACTTGTCCGTTTTTTAATTTCGTAAAACTTTTCATCTGTAATTATGAGGTTCCTTTTTTGTCAGCAGTGTTCAGACTTCCAAAAAGGGAAATTTTGGAAGTTTTGGAAATTTCAAGTACTTGTGTTCTAAATTGTTTGGTACTTCCCAAAATTATACAATTTCCGAAATTTCTGAAATTTCCAAAATTCTGTACAAAGCGAAATTTCTAAACTTTCAAATATTTTCAAAAAAATTTCATTTGCTTTGCTATGTAGTAATCGAGTTGATGGAAGCTTCGGAAATTTCTGTAATTTCCTTTTTCGGAAATCTGAACATACCTCTTTTTTGTATGCTTTTACAATCATTTATAAAAAATGTCACTCAGTTTCATTAGATTCTAGTGGTCGTCTAGATAGGATGTTTTATTTGACATATGACATGCTATTCATTTGGTCTTGCTTCATTTTATTGGGTAAAATACATCTTTCATTAAAAAGTACCTATGAGCACGACCCTTGTGAAGCTAACATATTCAAACAGGATATAGTTGTTATTGTTAATCTTCGAGACATTTTTATTAATTATGATTTAATTAATTGCCTAGAAATTTGGTTAGGTAAGATAGAACCTACTCCAATATGTCTGCCACTACCCGTGATGATTTATTGATATGATATCTGTTAAGATTACGGAAGAAAGGGCCCAAATCTCTGCTTCTATACTCCTACGATTGTTTTAGATCATTTTTCATGAAATCTCTGATTGATTATATTGAGTAACACCGTTTTACCATTTTTTATTTAGAAGACATTTTGTTTTCGAATATATAAACAAACAATTGGTTTAATATTTATAACGATAAGAAATAAGATTTTTTTTTCTGATAATATTTTGTAAAGTATTTGCATTCATTAATTTGCGAGCATTCATGTATTCGAGTATGCAAAACCTATTCCTGTTGAAGTTATGGGAATGATAATTTAGTATGGAAAATATTTAGGGGTCAATGAATAAAAAGAATTCTCAGACGGACATAATTTACATATTATAACAAACTCAACTGACAAAAGAATGTCTTATGTATTAGTCAAATTCTTAGAGCGAAGCTTCTCATGTTATTCAATATTTTTCAGTCAATTTTGTATGAAAAATGTTCAATCAATCGAATTCAAAAGTTGTTCTAACAAAATTGTAAAGCAGTTTTGGTATTATTTTACTTTGGAAGAAATATTCAAGAAATAAAACAATGAGATACGATGACAAATCTGTTATTATATTTTATTATATGTATAGATTTGAAGCGAATAATAATCTGTATTGATACTTAT